GTGGGGCCGCCCGCGCGCCGAGCCCGTCCTCGTGGCCGTGTCCGTGTCCGTGGCCCGCGGCCGAAGCGCGCCTCCCGGTAAGAAGCGCGCGGCGCGGCGGGCGGGCCGGGCTCTGGAGAGGGGCGGCCGGGGCGCGCCGCCGCTTTCCGCCCCTCCGGGCGCGGGGCGGCTGTGCTCGAGGCCGGGCAGGCGGCGCCGGCTGCCGGGCTGCCCTCCGAGGGGCGCTGAGGCGGGGGAGGCGCGGCTCGGGCGCGCTTGGGGCGGCAGTGAGGCTGCTTGCGGGCAGGCGGGGGGGGGGGCTCTACCTTGGAGGGGCCGTGTGGGCCCTGGGCAGAATCTGTTCTGCCTCAGTGGGGCCCTGACAGCCCCACTGGGATGGTGGGGGAAACGGGCGCTGAAGATGGGGCTGCGGCTCCCCATGTGGGGCGGTACCTGAGCTGGGAGGACAGCTGTTGTGGCCGGGGCTGCCGCTTCACTCGGCAGCCGGCGTGCAGGCAGCGTGTGGGGCTGCCTGGGGCCTCTGGCACTTCGGCGGCTGCTAGTGCCCCGCTGCCCCTCACCGCCCCCCCACGCTGCTCGGGCCGGGCCCTCGCACAGTCCAGCCTCAGCAAACATTCGGACGCAGGAGTGGCAGCCCCAGCCCCAGCAAGGCAGGCCGGGCCCAGGCCCAGTCGGGAGGCCCAGCCCCTGGCCCACGGGAGGCCGCTGTGTGTGGCCAGCAGCGTGGTTATGCCCCATGCGCTTTCGTGCGCTCCCTGTGCAAGAGCCGGCTGTGCTGCTGCCGCACTGCGGTGTGTGGGGTGGCTCCTGCTGGGCTCCCAGCTGCCTTTGCCTTCCCCGGCTGTGCCTTGGCCTCTCATCTCCATTTTGCCCCATGAGTCACCCAGAGAGGCTGACACTGTCGTGAGCAAATGGGAGAACTTGAAAAGACACCCAGAACCCTAACAACCTCTCTGTCAAGAGCCTACAGTTACAATTTCAGTTCAGTTCTGTAAAAGACACCGGTTTGGTTAAATATCCCACATAAAGCTGCAAGTATCTATGCTGATTCAATTTTATTTAATTATTAATTTAATTAAATGATTGAAAGTGCTGCCCATTTAGGGCCAGAGTTCAGGCTGCGTGAGGCTGGCGTGAGCCCCACAAAGCCAGGAGACCAGGACCGAAGAGCGGTGCTTTCACAAGCCTGCCCTGATGTGTGGTGATGCTGTGCAATCTCTGGCTGCCCCTGCTTCCGGTTTGCCCCTCACGAACCCCCCCCTTTTCCTTGGCCTCACAGGCCCGATCCGGATGGGGAGGACAGAGTGCCGGCCAGGACCAGCAGGGGAGCCTCGCACTGTTCCGGTGCTGCGTTGCCTCATCTGAGCGGAACCGTGTGGCTCCAGGACCCCTCCTGTGACTTGCCAGGCCAGCTGGGTGCTGGCTGAGCAAGCCCCGTGTGCGGCATTGCGCAACATCATCACAACTCATGGGGCGCCTCTGTTAAGGTATCAGCTCAAGCTTCCGATTTCCTGCTTTTGTGGAGCTTGCTTTAAACTGGTGGGTTTCTGATCGCTCAAATCTGCTGTTTTTAAATTTATAATTACACTGTTCTGAAAATCGATCTGAAAAACCGAAAGACAGAGCACGTGCAGGTCATCAACCGAGCAGCCACATGTAAATAGCACTTGTGCTGCTGTTAGTGCTGAGTAAGTCTGCCCAGGGCTCCAGGGGAATGTTCGCCTGGTTTCCCTCTCCAACAAGGAGGTCAACTCAGGTAGCCTTCCAGCACTCTAGCCTCACCCAGCTGGTGCGTCTCTGCTCCCCCACCTGGAATGGGGTAAGAAACGCCAGTGGGAGAGGGAAGCACTCTGCACATACCCGAAAGGCTGGCAGAGAAGGACAAGATCCTTCTCGGTCCTTCCAGAGCGCAGGACACGGAAAGGCAGACTTAAGCCGAAAGAAACCAGAGTTAGACTAGACTCCAGGGAGAAGGTGCCATGGAGGCCATCAGGTCCACCCCCGCTGTTGCCGGCTGGGCTTGTTTCCACAGAGTGTGCCTTGGCCCTGGCTGGTGCTTGGGGTGTCTGGGGGGATGCTGGGACCCAGACCGCCTCCAGCGGGCACCGCACGGCAGTGGAGTGCCTGCGTGCAGAGGCAGGCGAGGTGCTGAGCGCGGCGCTTCCGTGCTGGCGTGTGCTGAAGGCATGGCTCTCCCGCGGGGCTGCCCAGGGCAGAAGCCGAGGGGGTGCGTGGGACTTCCTTGGGGGGCTGCCCTCTCAGAGGGATTCCGTGGCTGCGGCATGCCTGGTGGAGCCACCCCCCCCCCCCGCGCCTGGAAGTGGGCTGGGCGCCCACAGGGAGGGTTCTGCCTCCGCAGAGCTAGCTCAGAGCGGCCGGACCTGCCTAACGAGTTTGGGAGAAGCCCTGGCAGGCCCCGAGCGAGCCAGCCAGCCAGCCGGCTGGGCTGCAGCTGCAGTGTGCCTCCCGCATGGCTGCAGGGCCTGGGAGGATGTGTCCATGGGCTTGGGCAGACGGGAGGGTTGCTGAGGTGCAGCCTGCCCTGCGGGAAGGCCTCCCGGATTCGGCCCTGGCTGCTGTACCAGGGAGACTGGCTGGGCTGCTCTCCCTTCCCGCTCGCCGGGACTCTGCTGTTGGCCCCCTCCGCATCTGCACCACCCTCTTGGAGGGTGCCAGGGTCCCTGCCTCTTCCGGGAAGCAGTGCAGTGCCCAGAGTGAGGTGCTGCTTGCTCGCCCAGGAGTGCCCAAGCCGACGAGGGCACGGGCACCCCGCGCCGCTCTGATCAAGTGGGCGCTTGAACTCGCGGATGGGACCTTGCGGCTACTCCGCAGCTTGGAGTACGGAACCGGAATCTTTTTGTGGCCATGAAAATGGGGCTTCTTTCTGCTCTGCGGTGCTCGGCTGCTTCCTGTGCAGGAGCCGTGGGGTCTTGAGCGCAGCGTGCTTTGGGGGTCCAGTGACCAAGCAGGACTCTGGTGTCCCATGCACTTTGCAGCCGCTTTAAGGAAGGCCCCCAAGCGCAGCCCCGCTGGGGAGGTTGGAAGAGCCCCGCAGCCCCGAAATCCACGTGGTTCTGCCCCTGGACTTGCCGCAGGACTGCCGGAGCCAGACACAGGCAAAGGGGGCAGAGCTGTGCGGGGCCTGTGTGCCTTGCCCCACACGCCTGCATTGGTTTCCTGGCCCGCAGGGGCAGCGCCAGCCCCGCCACAGGATGGGCAAAGCAGGGTGGGAGGGTCTGCAGGCCTCCCAGGATGCACCCCCTGAACTTACGGCGGTGGTGCTAGCAAGCCACGGGGTTTGGGGGGGAGGCGGCTGTGCTCTGGTTTGCTCTTCCTTCCCCAGCCTCCTTTGCATGCTCTCCTACCTGTCGAAGCAGTTGGGCGATCTCGGAGCTGGCATATTTTTTGTAGTCTTTTGGTTGGTCTGGGATACCTGTATGGTGCTGGAATTTTATCGAATTCCAGACTGGGACACCAAAAGCACTTTCCTCCCTCAGCTGCTCTGTTGCTGTCGCGAGTGCAGCAGCGGAAGCCCCCGGCGAGCGGTGCTGGCACAGGCGGGCTCAGCAGGTGGAGAGCAAGCAGGTGCTTCATGGCCAGGCGCTCACTGGGCCGGCAGAGGGGCTCTTCCTCTGGCTGGTGGGCTTCCAGCTCGACCGCGGTCACTGAGGGCTGCTCTCCTTGCTCCACTTGGCCGCTGCTTCCCGGTCGCCTGCGCCAGTGGGGGCTGTGCCCCATGGCCCGGCCCTGCAGCACAGTGCTGCTCCCTCGGCCTGCAGGTGGCCACGCCAGGCCAGCTGTGGCCCAGTGGGTGGGCAGGGCCCCATGCTCAAGGCCTGAGGGAGACCAGGATAACCCCACCCCCCCATTTGCCCCCCATTTCCGGGGGGAGCTTAGTCACTAAGATCTGCTAGGGAAGAGCCGACCGTTCCAGGCCGGGGTTTGGTGCTCGTGGGGATGCCACCCTGGGGCCCATCATGAGAGGTGCTCTGGGCCGCCTCTGCTCTCTCTCCTGCTCGCGCCCCTCCTGCCCAGGGACCGACTTCCCCGCTGGCCCTCGGGCGGCCATTCCCGGGCACGGCCTTTCGCTTTCTGGTGCCACTCAAGGCTCTGTCTCCTCCCTTGCAGATTCCTTCGTGAACAGCCAGGAGTGGACCCTGAGCCGGTCGGTGCCGGAGCTCAAAGTGGTGAGTAGCTCCCTGTGGGGTGTGTGCGTGTGCGTGAGTGCGTGTGAGCGTACCCTCTCCCCTGGACTGTACTGAGAGGTGGGGTTCGGTCAGCTGCTGGCTGTGTACAGGGACCGGGCCCTCCCTCTCCCACGCCGTCAGACACCCGAACTGGAGCTGAGGGGTCTGCCGTGAAGGGTTGCTTGGTTTTCCTGGATTGTAACCCGAGCGATTCTCCTCCGATCCCATTTGCCCCTGTAACTGGGCCAAGGAAGGGGGTGGGTGAGGGGCCGGGGCGCTCCCGGGGCTGAGAACAGCCTCTCCCTCTGCCCTGCTTTCCGTCAGGGCCTCTCCAGCGGCCAGAGCCTGCGGGGCACCCGGTCCTGCCGGGGGGGCCAGGGGGTTGCCTGCAGGCTCGGCGCCTGTTCTGGCCGTCCCGCTCTTCAGCGTGTGGGGTGGCAGCCACGGCCCCGCAGCCCTCTCCACTGCAGCCACATGTCTTGTGCACGCTTTGCTGAGGTGGTGGAAGATGGGCTTCTTGGGTTCAGAGAGCTGCCCCTTCCCAGCTCGGGGAAGAGGCTTCCAAGCACCAGCTGGCCAGGAGGAGGAAGCGGGGAGCCCAGCTGAGGGGCCCGGATCAGGAGACCCCCTTGTGGCATCCTCGCCGGGCTGCGGGGAGGCAGACCAGGAAGGGCTCCCTCCAGCTCAAGAGATGCTCAGCAGGCCGAAGCCTGAGCTGCTGCCATCGCACGGACTCCTCAGTGGTGGCCACACACCTCTCATTAGAGAGCTGGAGCGGGAAGGGCTAGGGGTGGGGGTGCCAAAGGTGGGGGTGCCTTTTGGAAAGCCTGCCTGGCCATGGGGTGTTCTGGACTGGTGGTGCTTGGCCTGCCGTGGTGCCAGGAGTGGCCAGGCAGTGGCATCGTCTCCAGGTCTTTCCGAGCAGAGGGCAAGGCTTCCCAGAAGCCCCCTTCCCAGATGCGTGCTTTGTGCTGCCCCGAGGACTCGGGGAGATGCTGGGGCCAGTGGGGAGCCCAACCGCAGCCCCGCCTGCTTGCTGCTGAAGCGCTCTCCACACTAAAGGCGGTGGTCAGGCTTCCTCTCCCCGCAGCTGAGCCAAAAACTAGCTCTGCTCCTCAAGGGGCCTGACGGTCTGCCTTGGCCAGGGAGCCCCCGGCCCAGTCAGTGAAGCCTCCGGCCCTGACTGCACCCCAGACCTCCGGCGTGAGCTCGGGGCCCTCCTTCTTGTGCGGCAGCAGCGACAGCTGGAGCCACCCCACCCCACCCCGGCCCCCCATGAGCCGTACCCGTGCCCAGTCCCTGCCTGCTGGCCCCCGCTGCAGCGTGGCCACCATCCGTCGCAGCCATGGGCTCTGCACTGTGTGGGGCTGCTGGTGGGAAGAGTCCCGGGCGGGACCCCCCCGCCCCCGCCCCCGCCCCCTCCCCCTCGTGCAGCTCGGAGCGGTTCCTGCCCTTTCCCCAGTTCTCTTGCGACTGCCACATTGGCCTCTCCTCTTGCGGTATTTGCCTTTCTGCACGTTCTTCTCTTGTGTGTTCTGCTTTCCAGCTTTTGCTTCCTATTTCTACTTTTCCCTGCTGTTTGATCCTAAACTTAGCCTTCCCCCCAAAAGCAAAATCTCTCAACAGCCCCTCTTAGCATAATAGAATCATAGAGTAAAGCTGGGGGGGGGGGCAGAGGGCCAACTCCTGCTGTCGCAGGACACCAGGTCAGCGCACCCCGCTCAGGGGGCCGTCCAGACGCTTTCCGAGTGTCTCCAGCGAGAAGAGCCCACCAGCTCCCCAGCTCACAGGTTCCATTGCCGTGGTGCTCCAACAGTGAGGACATTCCTCCTGGCGTCCGGTCTGAATCTGGCTTCTCGGAACTTGAGTCGCCATTCCGTGTCCCGCGCTCTGGAAGGAATGAGAAGAGACCTCGTGCTCCCTCTCTGGGGCGGCCTCGGAGGTCCTCGTGGAGGCTCGCACAGCCCCTCCGAACCTCCTCTCCCTGAGGCTGCACGTGCCCAGTTCCGCAATCTTGCCTCCCAGGGCTTCGCCTCCAGCCCCTGATCCCCCCCTGTGGTCCTCCTCTGGGCCCTCTAGACTTTCCGCGTCTTCTCAGCTGCCCAGACCGGGACAGAGAGTGCCAGGCGAGGCCTGACCGGTGCTGCGTGGAGGGGAGCTGGCGCTTCACCTGTCTGGGAAGTGCTGCTTCTGCTAATGCACCCCAAAAGAGCGGTTGCCCTTTTTGCAGCTGTGTCACATTGTTGGCTCCTATTGGGCTTGTGATCGACAGCAACCCCGAGATCCTTCTCTTTGCAGCTGTTGAGCCAAGCGTTCCCCATCCTGTAGCGGCGCCTTTGGCTTCTTGCTCCCCAGTGGAGGGCGTGGCATTTCTTCCCACCGAAATTTCATCTTTTGCTCTCTGCCCGGCATTCTCACCTATCCCGATCACCCTGGATCATATCTCTGTCTTCCAGGGTGTTTGCTGTCCCACCCAGCTTTGTGTCAGCTGCAGATTTAATTATCTCTCCTTGTACTTCCTCGTTGAAATCGTTAATAAGAACGCTGAAGAGCTCTGGCCGCAGTGCTCTGCCGATTGGGCCTGCTGCAGGCCCAGAGCCGGCGCCACCAAGGCCCGCCCCATGATGGAACGGATCTCAGGAGAGTTGTCATGGGAGGGGTGATCAGACCCACCCCCCGACTGCGGCGTGTGCCCCGTCTGTGGCCTCCCTGGCCGGGATTCCGCTCTCACCGCACTGGGGCCACTGGGCCAGTTGCTGTCACTGGTTCCCACAGCCAGCCGGGCTGTTGCGCTCTCTCCTCGTGGGATCGGCGGTTCTTCTCCAGCTCCACCTCATGCCTCACGCTGCCACCTGCGATGCCTCCGGGTCCCCTGCCTGCCTGGGACTGCCGGGATGCCGCCACCGCAGCACCAGCGGGATCGGGAGGAGAGGGGGCCGTGGCCGCAGCCTGCTGCCCTGAGCTACTTGCGTGATGTCCCGGCTGTTGGCAGGAAAGGCAGACGAGCGGGTCGGAGCCCGGCCCTCATTCACCACCTCACCTGCAGCCCGACTCCCCGTTTTCAGTGCCAGGGGACTACCTGTCTGATCCCGAGCTGGCTCTGTGCAGCGACCTGTTGATGCCTTCGCCAGATGGTGTGATTCCAGCGCAGGGACCGGGGCCCCGTCCGAAGAGCTGGAGCAGGTCCTTTGGATGGCGATGTCCCCTGGACCGGAGATGCCGCAGCGGGCAGAGAAGCAGTGGGTCCCGTCTTCAGCGCTGCCCAGATGGAGGAGGCCGCGCTGGTGTCCGTGCCATTCCTGCCTGCGCTCCTCAGCTCCATGAAGGAATCGCAGAAGAGCCGACTTGGAAGGGGCCATGGAGGCTGCCGGTTCACTCCCTGCTCTTGTGGGACACCGGGTCATGCCATCGCATGCGGGTGGCTGTCCGGGAGCCGTGGAAGGCGGAGGCCCACTGCAGCCAGTGCCCAGTGCTTGGAGGACATTCGCTGGGCACGGGGCGGGGGGGTCGTTCTTGCTGCCGCAGCCCCAGCCAAACCCAGTCATTGTGGAATCAGCGCAGGCTCGTTCACAGTGGGGCCCTTGGCAAGGGTGGCAGTGCCTGGAGTTTGGGGAAGGCAGGTCTGTGTACCGGAGGCGTTGGGCCTTTGTTTTTCTAATTATGAAGCTGCCATGGGGTGCCACCAGCTATTCCTCTGGGAGAAGGTGGAGTCCCAGGGGAATGCCTGGACGTGGCCCATGTGTCTCAGTCGGAGGCATGCGGTCTTTCTAGGCAGTCGATCAGCACAGCCCATCAACGCATCAGCTGCGACGTGAGGGGCCCCGTCGGCATGGTGGCCGCCTGACGCCATGCCTGGCTTCAGGTGGTGGGTCTCTCCCGAGAGGATCAAGGCCTGAGGACTCCCTTCAACTCCCGCACGGATTCGAGGCTGGATGTGCTCCACAAGGCCCGGAGAATGGCCCCAGAGAGGGCTGTGTGCCCCCCAGCAGCCGCCAGTGCCGCTGGGACGGAGGGAGGCCACCTCCCAGTTCCGGCAGCGAGGAGGCGGCTGCCTGCCAGTGAAAGGCAGCACGGAGCGGAGCCACCAGGCCACTGCTCGGATCCGCTCCAAGGGTTGCCTCATCGCCTCCCTCCCCGCCTGGGGGCAGCAGCGTCGGATGGGTGGGAGCTCTTCTCTGCGGGGAGTGGATGCTATGCTGAATTTGGGACTGTGCCACCTCTTGCCTCTGTGTAATCGATGCCACCGTCCCGCTTTTGGCAGTGGAGGCGGCCACACTGCTCTCGAAGGGGGCACCCACCTGTGCCTCTGCCAGATCTTCAGTGCGGGTTTTGCCCACACTGCTTTACCACACCGAGGAAGGACAGGCGCCTCTGCCCCGTCGTTGCCCCGTGGACGCCGCCTCCTTCGTTGCACCAAGGAAGTTCCACAGTTTCCATACAGACCCCTTTCTCGTTATCGCATTTAGTGGCTAGGTTCACCCTGATAGACTTACAAGATTTTGCTTGCTTTCTCGCCGTGGTCCACCAGGCCTGCTGGCACTTCCCCTGGTTCCCCTTGGCTTGGATGGCTATCGGGTTCCAGCGCTTCCGTTTGCTCTGGGCGCTGCTCCTCGGTTTGCACCAAGTTCATGGTCATCACCTGTGTGCATCTCCAGCTGCAAGAGCTTCAAGCTTTTCCCTACCTGGGCAACCGTCCGCTGGTTGTCCCATCCTGAGAGAAGTGCTTGGGTTTGGTTCCTCTCCCCTGAGAACTCTCCTCGGTTCATCCTCTCCATCAGGGAGAGATGCAACAAATCGACGGCCAGGCTGACCTCCCAGCCAGTAGAGCAACAGCCCCGGCTGCCCTGAATGCGAAGCTCGGGACAAGCGCAGGACAACAGTGCAGCAGGCACAGCGCCATCCCCGCCTCTTGGTGGTGACAGTCACAGCCATCCCGTTCACCGGGCTGCAGATGGGGATGGTCCGGCGTGCTTGTGCTTCCTGACCCAACGCGACTTGGTCCAGTGCGGTGGAGCCTGGCCTGGTGGACATCCTGGTCCAGCAGCGCAGAAGGAGCTGCACGCCACGCTGACGGCAGGCCTCTCCCACTGGATGTGGCTCCAGTGAGACCCACGGAATGGGGATGCCTCCAGACAGGAAGCCGCATAAGAATTGGCTCTGGCTCCTTGCATTCTGGGAAGCTCTGGGTGCCTTCCGGCCTGGCCTCCGGGACAGATGCGAGCAGGTCAGCACAGGCAGCCTCTCTGTGGCGTTCTGCCTGAGCACACGGGGAGGCGCACGGCCCTGCTGTGACGGCGGCTCAGTTCTCCCCACCCGCTGTCGCGCTGGCCTTCAGAGGGCTGCAAACCTCGTCCGGCTGGGGCCTGTTGGCGGTTTGGCGGCACTTGAGAAGCTGCCCTTTGAGCCACTGGCCACCATGGATGTACGGCCCCTTCCGTGCAAGGTTGGGCCTCCAAGGGAGGTGGTTGAGCCCCTCCCCATCGGTGAGGGTGTTCAAGGAAAGACTGGACGTGTTGGGGATGGCGTGCGGGGAGCCTGCTGGAGCTGGGGGTCTGACCAGAGGCCCCGGGAGCCTCTTCTGACGCGCCTCCTTCGCGGTCATCGCATTGGCTGGACTGGCTGGCCCCCTGTGTGCCTCATGCATTGACCAACTTTCCACGCCTTCCACAGGGACAAGGGGGTCCTGTGACTGGACACCTTATTTGTCCCGAAGCTGCGCCAGCACTTCGCCTGCCCAGACCGCTCTTCTGATGGAGTCACTGTGTGCCCCGGATGGTTGCAGGGTGCTGGCCTTCTCTCAGTCCTCTCACTGGCCCCGGGGACTGTTTGCATGTTGCAGCGAAGGGCCCACGGGGGAGCCGGTTAGCCCCCGGCGAATGGCACCCTGGGGCGGGAAGCCTCCGTGCTGGCCTCTCCGTGGGCGGGACTCCAGCTCCCTGGGGCCAGGAGCCCTCGGTGCAGGGCGACAGCGACCCGCACGGTGCCGCTTGAGGGCATCCCTCTGCGGCTCCTCTGCGAGGTGGCAGCGTGGTCCAGCGTTTGACCTCCGTCCGGAACTGCCAGCTCAATGCCATGCCGGGCCAGTCTGCTCCCTCAGCAGAGTGGCTCTCCGCGGCCCGCCACAGCCGGCACCTGCTCGCCTCCATCGGGATCTCAGCTCGCTGGACGCCCGCGTTGTGATGCACGGAGTCCAGAAAGAAGGCCGGGTTGCTCACCTGCAACGGCTGTTCTTCGAGCGGCCGTGCGTGCATTCACACAGCCCACCCGAACCACGCGGGTGCCCGCCAGGTTCGGTGCCGTGTCCTTCCTGGCATCCTGTATCCATCTGGGGCGGGCCAGCCATTGCCCGGCCTCCCCCGGCTCTGGGGCACAGCACCAGTCTCGAAGGAACTGGGGAAAGGGCTGGGACCTTTCCCAGAAACAGCACGGGTGGGAGTGGAGGGGAGGGGCTCCCAACGGGAGGCGACTAGAGCAGGCCCTGCGCAGGGCAGAGCCGACGGGTGCAGAGCACGGATGTGGAGACCTGACACGCGGCCAGGAAAGGCAGGCGCTGGCAGTCCCCTTGCCAGAGGCCTGGCACTGCACCCTGCATCCGCTGCTGCGCTCCGAGGAGCCCAGGATCCCCTGCCCAGCCTGGGTCCACAGCAGAGATCCACAGCTCAGGACTGGCACGTGCTCAGGACTGGCACGAACCAGGGAGGTGGCGGTTCTCATGTTCCAGCGAATGCTGATCAGAAGCAGCTTCACTCATGAGCTGTGCGGAAAAAGCTGCTCTAATAAGGCTTTTTCAAAATTGTATTCCTTTCAGTGGAACTTTACCCTTAAGGTTAGGGGTATTCCCCAGGGTAGGGTTAGGGTTGGGAAAACGAGCTGTCATTGCAGGAATTTGATGGTTGGAATGCACTTAGAATAGGCAGAAATGATGAGCTGTGTACAAAAAGCTGCTCCAACAAGGCTTTTTCAAAATTGCGTTATTTTCAATGGAACTTCACCCTTATATTAGGGTTAGGGGTATTCATCAGGGTAGGGTTAGGGTTGGGAAAAGGAGGTGTC